CAACTGGCATGACAAGATGATGTAAAATTACCTTTTTCAGATCTTGTAGCATTTTAGAATTGTTAAGAGGTCACCTCATACAACTTCTTCATTTTATTGAGGAGAAGACTTGAAAGCCATATGGTTAAAGGTTCTATTCCTAGTTGTTTGTAAAGCTGGGCATATAATCTGTTTGTTTGATTCTATATTCAGTCCTTATTCCCACTCTATTCTCCTTTGCCAAGCATGGCCTTTAAGGTGGCTCTAACCTGTGCTAATCAGGAGAGAGACACATGCCAGTTGTCACCCAGCCTTGCTGCTCACTAGCGAGCTTACCTCGCGAGTGTCCAGCCTGTGAGCTGTGGTTTCCTCACAGGTAGCCTGGCGATGGTCCCTGAGTCACAGGGCACCTCAGGGATTGAACGATGGAATGGGTACAAGCTTATTTGTTTACTGAGGTCCTGTGCACGAAATTTGTGCACTCGCCGGGCAGGGGCGGGGTGTCCCTTAGCCCAGCCTGCACTCTCTGCAGTCCAGGAGCCATCAGTTGGACATCCTAAGTGCTGCCATGGAAGTGGTGGGAGTGGCAGTGGTGGGAGCATCCTAAGGCTCCCACCACTGCCGCTGTTCTCGACAGGTGTGAGCCCAACTTCTGGCTGATTGGCGCGACCCCTGTGGTATCACACTGACCACCAGGGCAGCTCCTCATTGAGCATCTGCTCTGGTGGTCAATGCACCTGTGGTTCCACCATTCGGTCAATTTGCATATTAGCCTTTTATTATTATAGGATTCCAGAGACCCTGACATACTGTGAACCTCAGTAAATGATTGTATGCTTATAAAATAGAACTCCTTTAGAAATTATTCTGCTAATAAATCTTTATTGTAAAAAGCATAATATGCAGATTAGCACAAAGAAGGAAATGAAAAGCACCCTTAACATCATCATCCAGAGATAATCTCAAATTTTTTCTCGTGCATTTTTCTCATTTAGTTTTGATTGCACTTGACTCTGAAAAATATAGCCCTGGCCAGTTTGGCTCAGTGGATGAAGTGTTGGCCTGCGGACTGGAGCTTCCCGGGTTCGATTCCGGCCAGGGGCACATGCCTGGACTGCAGGCTCCATCCCCAGTGGGGGGCTTGCAGGAGGCAGCTGATCAATGAGTCTCATCATTGATGTTTCTATCTCTCTATCCCTCTTCCTTCCTCTCTAAATAAATAAAAATATTTTTTTAAATATAGCATGAAACTCTATGTCACTAATCCATTAAAGCAAACCACTTAACATTAATCACGAGACAAGAGCCATAACAGAGCCTGATCATTATTCTTTAATTGAACTTTACATAATGTTATGCCAGTTACACCTAAGTTCTTGAATATACGTTAAATCTCCTCAACTTCTTGATGTAATTTCACTGCATCTTTCCCCCTTTATATTCCAATTTGAGCTGTGTACAGATCTACCAGCTTTTTTCCCTCTGTAGTGTAATGAATTGTCCATCGTACAGACCTTGACCGCGTGACCTACCTGGGCTCTGTTGAGGGATTTTGGTTCACGTTGCTCATGATTAAGCTACAAAACCTTCTCAAACCAAAGAAGTTTAAATCATTGGGAGAAGGAGTGTCAAAATCAAATTGGTTAAATTTTTTATCTCCTTTCTCAAGAAAGCGATTTACGGGGCCCTCTTCCTATTCTTAAGGTCTAGCCTGGCTGTTCTTTTTCTGTTTCTGCTGCCTCTTCATTTTGTTGCCCGAGGCCATGCACTAAAAAGGTCAGTTTCCCTGGAAGGAACTTTGTCTTCAAATCCAAGGTTATTAGAGTTCTGCTCCTCTATTGATTCTTGTGTGTGTTGCCAACTTGGATAGTTTTCAAGTCTCGGACTTACTGTGGTGATTTGTGGACGGACTATTTTAAGGATATACAGTTGTGACCCTGGCAGAGGGGTCAAGACTGCCAGACCCAGGAATCAGGCAGAGGTGGGGTGGCCAGTGGAAGGGCCCAGCGCCACAGCTCTGTGCCTGCACTGAGGCCAAACACACAATCCTGTCCTAGGAGAGCACTGGGAGTCACAGTTAGGGCAGTGTGGCCAAAGCAGTGGGTGGAAGGAGGCAGAAACTATAGGCTGACCTAGGACAGTGGGAGTTGAGACCCAAGAGGAAAAGATAAGAATGATTTGAAATAGAAGATTGTCCAGATCAGGAAGGCAGTGGGCTCATTCTGGAGTTCAGCTTTCCTGGTAAGATGCTATGCTGGGAGTAAAACTTGTGAAAGCTGCCCAAGTATATTAGACAGATGCCAGGGATTAGGAGGCTGAGTTACTAGCCTTGAGCCAGACGTTCCCGGAGGGTTATGAATGACTATTCTTTAAGAGAGGGTTGCTCATGGGAGGGCTGGTTCATGCTTGGAGTTAATGCCAGTGCTGGCTTTCTCCTGGTCCTCGCCATCCTCTTAGGTTTCAGAAAGAAATGATCCTCCCACCCCACCCCTCCTGCCCCCATGGAAAAATTGATTAATGTTTGATTTAATTATCTTCTCAACCAGTTACCCTATCACTGTGCTAAAACAACCACCTCAATACTCGCCTTCCTCATTCAGGGTGAAGGTGTTCATACAGGGCTTTCCCCAGGACCGTGAACACGTGACAGTGAGATTTCTTGCTAAAAGCAGAAATAGACTGACTCCACCTCCCGTGCTTCCAGGGTGTCCTTGAAGCCGTTCCGAGCATTCTCCAGTCATTTAGAGCCATAAGAACTGAGATAAATGACCAGCTTCAAAGAGGAATTAAAGCCTCAAGTATTCTGTAGGGAAGTCATATTTTAGTAGATCACCTTGGACTGTATTTCCATCAGAGCGAATTTTGGAAGCTCCTTCTTAGGGTGGAAGAGTGAGGAGAGAATGTACTTTCCCTTTTCGGTATCTGATCTCACAAATGTCTCTCCTTTTGGTTGATTTTCTTGACTCACAGTTGTGTTTCATCTTTTTAAACTGACATGTTGCTGTGTATGTTAGTCCCTCAGGGTGTGAGGTTGGCTGCGATGTGTGCCCTTGCTTGCACATCCTCATCCTTCAATGTGGGGTTGAAGGAATGCTCTGAGATCCATTCAACGCTTTCCTGTTATAAACATGCTTTATAGCAATGTTCCATTGAGTCCATTTACAAAAATTTAACTTGAACTAAGTAATCCTGAAGGTCTAGCAATGCAAGGTCAGAGGTGTGCAGTGCTACCAGACTAACAGGCTTCATCCTATTGCTCCCCTCTTTTCTGCTGGTTTTCTCTCACTTTTCTCATTTATGGAGCTCCTAATATTGCTGTTCATGGTAATGTTGCTGTAAGGGCTCAGTAATTAGACATGGGCATCCAAAGCAAGTTTGTGTTTTCCTTTTTTATGAGAAAAACCATTTTAGCTTTCCTCATGGGGAGGCTTTCGGAACCTCTGGAGACATTCATAAGTGCAGTGAAGTTTAATTTTACTCTGCAAGAAGAAAAAGAGAATATTGCACTTTTCCTATCCAGGGATTCCACTCTCCCCCAAGCATTGCTACCCTCTGTTTATCGCTTGCAAATCATTTGCAGGCAGCCTGTTGCGTGCTAACCACCCGGTTATTTTGGTCTTAGTAAAAACTGCCTTGCTTTAAGCACAGTTTCTAGGTCATTGAAACTACTGGTTCTTTGAGAATCACCCACAGCTGGAAGATAGACCATCTCGTTTGACGCTTTATTACTGGTACCCAGGAGGCTGTGGTCTCACACACGCCCCTGCTTTCTCAGTGACCTTCCAAGGACATCCCCAGCCTCTTGCTTTTGCTTTATTTCTGTAGGTCCGCCTGGCCAGAAAAAAAAAAAATTGTTTTCAATTGCTGTTTATTATTTATCTTTAATAATCTCATTTATATTAGTAATTGGGTGATATGCTATCTTGGAATTGTATGGCCAGATTTTTTGTTGTTGTCATTGTTGTTAATCCTACCTGAGGATATTTTTCCGTTCCTTTTTTAGAAGGAGTGAAAAGGAAAGAGGGTTGGGAGGAAGGAGAGAGAGGGGAAAAGGGGAAGAAAGACACATCAATTGATTGCCTCCTGCACCTGACAAGGGCCAGGGATGGATGTGCCCTTGACCCAGGTATGTGCCCTTGACCAGGAATTGAACCTGAGACCCTTCAGTACTTGGGCAGATGCGCTAACCATTGAGCAACCAGCCAGAGTGATATAGTCAGTTTTGACACAAGGTCAGATATCAATATTACCCAATGCATTTTTTCTTCACTAGAAATTGTGAATTCACCCAATATTCTCTGGTAACCTTTGTTGAAGTGATTCCTATAAAACCTGGCGTTCTTCCTTTCGCTTTTTTCCTCCCCGCAATTCTTTGAGAACAATCTGTCTTCCAGAATGGCTCTCACAAAATCACTGAGGGTTCTTTTTCCTTTCATCTCTTTCTCCAATAGTTTTTACCATCTTATTCCTTATGATGGTGCAAAGTGAACAGCCAGAAAATGAAGGAAAGCCACAATCAATTAGTCTTAAACCATCAGCTGCATTCCTAATTCTGAGATAAATGACTGAGTCCTGTGGCTCAAATGTCAGGCAATTTCCCTTCCAGACTTGCCGCAGCAGATAAGGAACCATTCCTGTCCTTCTGCTAAATTGTCAGAGAGGTACATCTTATTCCCCAGAGGGAATGTTCAAATCTTTTAAATTTCTGCCATGAGACCCACCTCTCCTGGTGTAGAAATGGGGGGTTAAATGATTAAGGAATCAGTCCCTGTAAAGTACTGTGAAGGACAGATGTAACATGTAATCATATACTCCTTGGGGCCTTAGCTGATTAGTGTTCCATTTGAGAGGGCACCTGTCTCTGGATTGTTGGCTAAAAGCATGGATTCTGACTAATAATAATAACTTGCTTAAATACAGTGCTCACGGTGTGTCAGAAACTGTGCTCAGTGCTTTCTGTATGCATTAGTTCATTTCCAGATGAGCCAGCGAACTTAGGGTCTCTGATTTATATTTTCCAGGTTGAAAATTGGTGTCCTCGTTTACCATGGAGAGCAAAAAATCCCTACGAGGAAGCTGATCATAATTCATTAGTAAGTTTGGAAACCTTTTGCTGGGCTTGTGATTTGGGTCTGATGCCAGGTGATACATGTGGCGTCTTCTAGAAAAATGCAGCTGTGATCTAAAACAGTGGTAACCAGAAGAACCTCTACACCCAGCCCTGTGGAAATCTTGGTGACCAAATCAGTCAACTCCTTAGTTAGCATCTACTTATTGAGCAACTCTGTTCGGGCTCCTAAGTGACAGGCTACTGCTATGAATAACATCTTGTGGAGGCACCCTGTAAATCTATGAGGGTGATGGTTGTAAAAGTGACCACAGGTATAAATGCTAGACTACACACCCGTGAAATTAATGAGGAAGTTGTGGTCTTAGCCTGCAGCCGTGAGATATTGCAGAGATGACCCTGGAGCTGATTGAGTCGATGGGAGATAAAAGGGGACATATACTAATAATAAAGATTTAAAGAAAAAAAATAAATAAAATGAAGAATGAGTTTATACTGAGTCAAGGAGATAAAGGTGTCTGATGTGAGAGAAGCAGGGCATGTATAAGAGTTCAGCATTTTTAGGGACTAGGATATGCATGGTTCAGTGGGACAAGGCCACAGGGGCTTGGATATTTGAAGGTGAGATTGGAGACGTAGCTAGGGGAATTATGAAAGGTTTTATATGCCACATTACAAGCTTAAGTCTTTAGTGTTTAGATGGGAATCTGCAAACTTTTTTTGTAAAAGGCCAGATGTTAATATCCTCATCTTTGTAGGCCCTGAGGTCTCTGTCACAGCTACACAGTTCTGACTTTGTAATGCAGAGGACAGCCATGGACAAGATGTAAACGAAAGGGTGTGGCTGCATTACAATGGAAGTTCTCCTACAAAAACAGGCAGCTGAAAGGGATTTGGCCTAAAGCCCAGTGCTTAATCACTGGAATCTGGAGAAATTGTTGAGTCAGGGAGGGCCACAATCAGATAGATGAGCATTTAGAATGAGCTAAGGTGATTGCTGAAAGTTGGATTCAGCATTTTAGATGTTGCATGAAACCAGTATTAGTGTTCTTATTTTTCCTGTTATTTTAATCACTGGTCCTATCCAGCTGTATGACAAATATGTTCTTCCTGGCTTTTACATGACTCCGGCCTGAATTTTAAATTTTATTCAGTTGTAATTGGAAAATGTTTTTCCTGGCTCTTAAATTCTTTAGAAAGTAATAAGCTTTTGTTTGTTTGTACTGGGAAAAAAAACTTGTGCTTCCCTTCTTCATTGTGTGGACGGAGGAGGTCTCTGGCAGTCTTCACAATACCAGGTAGCCTGCTAAGAACTGACTTCCATTTTCCCAGGACTCTGTTGCCTGTAGTAGATTTAAATGGCCAATAAATTCAGGTACAAAGAATTTCAAGGTACATCAAACATACTCATTATTTTTTTAAAAATGCATTTTAACATAGCTCAGGGCTTTGCAGTGACTATGCTTCTTTCACATAGTTTCTTATGTGAAATGATGTCCCTTATGGCAGCTGAGCTGTCGGGGGTCTTTGCTTCAGTTTGCAGTCCCAGGACCTTAAAGAAAAACTGTGCTGCCAAGACCCCCTTTTGAGCCCTGTATTGAATTGAGTACCTCTTTCAAGTTTTCAGATGTCACCTCATGCAAACCATTATGCGTTCTGACTTCATCTTCTTCTCCTTTCTATTAAATTTCTGTTTCTAGGCGGAAATTCGTACGGATTTTAATATTCTCTACAGCATGATGAAGAAGCATGAAGAATTCCGATGGATGAGGCTGCGCATCAGGCGCATGGCTGATGCATGGATCCAAGCGATCAAGTCCCTTGCAGAAAAGCAGAATCTTGAAAAGAGAAAGAGGAAGAAAGTGAGTTTGTAATTAATTCCATTTGTTAGATGCCCATTTTCTTTTAAAATTGATTTGCTTGGAACCAAAACTGAGAAACGTCAGGCCTTCCTGCTGTTCCTCCAGGTGAATCTGCTCAGTCGCTCGTACAACCATGTCTGGGTTTCCCTTTTCCACAGACACATCACCCCACTTAGCAGGGACCAGCACACATTTCTTGGGTGAATCCAAGCAGAATATCTGCCTGAAGGATTTTCCTTTGAATTTTCCATCTGACTGTCTCTCGATGGTGTCAGGAAACTTAGCCCTATTTTCTTTACTGAACACAAACAACCTTTGAGAACTTTCTATTACATCATTATGACAGTTTCATATTTTTGGAGTTTCATTGGTTCTGGGGTTTGGGCAACAGTGAGTTCCATTAATATTCTGTTTGGTGCTTCTGCTTGAGAGAGAGGTAAAATAAATTAAACTTGAGCCACTTTGTTCAAGTTTATGAGGAAATGCTTGGAAAACATCTAGAATACTCCTGAGCCTGGGAAATCCTATACTCTGTTAGAGACTATGCGGCTGTGGCTTTAAGTGAACTGTTCTGATGATGAAAAACTGAGCAGAAAAAAACTACATGTTCCTATATCTAAAAATAAATTTGGATGAGTTTGCAATTTTCCTAATTTGACTCATTTGATAGCCTCGAAAAGAAATACAGATATACCTCCAAATCCCAAGTTACACTTTGATGGGTCAGTTATGCTTGGGTCCTTGAGTTCATGAGACATGGAAGAGCATGTGGTTATAGGTCCAGATGGGCTATTAAAGGAAGTAAAGTATAATTTTATTTAATCCTATACAGTAATCTCCAGAATGTATCATTAGGTGAAGAAATGTTAGGTAGAGAATAGTAAACATTATTTGAAAAGGGAAGAGAGAATTTATCTATATACATATGTCTATCCTCCATGTGTACATATAAATGCATTCATATATACACACATATAACACTTATATAATATACATACACACTTCTTGCTCATATCTTTAAATGGTGAAAATGGTAAATTTTATGTTATATATACTTTACCACAATACAAAAATGTCAAATAAGGGGAAGGCAAGAATAGCATAGAGACAACAGGTGTAGAAACCAGACTTCTCTGGATGTATCTCACTTTGTAGGTTTTATGCAAGAATCATCCTGTATAATAAAAGCCTAATATGCAAATTGACAGATCTATGTAGGGTGGAGCCGGCAAGCAGGTGGCACCAGGCCAGCCAAAGTGGGTGCCAGTGGGCAGAGGGAGGGGACAGCGATCAGGGGGTGGCAGTGACCAGAGGCGGTGGAAGGGTGATCAGGGGGTGAGGCCGGCTGTCGCTGCCCCTCCATCAGCCCACTAGTCACCTTCCACAGAGAGAGGCCAGACTGTGCTCAGGGAGCGGGCCTAAGATATCAGTCGGACATGTCCCGAGGGCTCCTGGACTGTGAGAGGGCACAGGCTGGGCTAATGGACTCTCCCACCCCTTGAGTGCATGAATTTTCATGCACTGGGTCTTTAGTTTTACATAAGTATAAAAATTTAATTACCAATAAATAGCAGTTCTTGATAGCACAAGGAATATAAAACAAATGAACTCATTGCTTGTCCAGTTTTACTACGAATGTATAGAGATGGACTATTCCTGTTGATTTGAACATGGTAAGTTGAACGTTTTCATGGGATATCACAAAGGACAAAAAAACTGCAAAAATGTCTTTCCACAATTTTTTCTAATCATGTAGGAGGTGGTGGTGTTGATATTCTCACTCTGAATCAATTAAGTGTAGTGGACTAAGGCAAGTAATTATGTGAGTGTCCTTGAGAAGTGGGTTTTTCAGTGTAGGGGAAAGGAAGTAACAAATGTCAATTGGATAATCTTATGTAAAGACACTGTAATCCTGAGTTTGAATTGGAAAAACCAGTATGAATTTATGATTAGTTTTATCCTCAAGGAAAAATAAATTTTCTAGCTGTGCCCACTGAAAAGGCCTACAGGAAGTGATAATTGAGAGTGTGCTTAGCACTGGCCTTTGACCTTTAAATACCATTCTCATTGAATGCTGTCGGAGGTTCTTAGGAAACTGGCTGATTAAGGTCTGCAGCAGGATTGTACCTGATGAGTTTGGACATCCTGTCTTACCAGAAAGTAAACTGTCAAAGACCAGGACTGTGTAAAAGAACTTGGAAGCCAACTGAATAGCTTCCTGTTGGCCAAGATGAGACAATGTGATCATCAGTAAGAATAAAACTACAATTTATTAAAACACAGCAAATAAATTTATAGCCATATTTTTACAATGGTGTGTGTGTATAAAGTTCTCTTTTGTCATTATTAGAGAACACTAAAGAACAATTTTTTTTTAAACTGCTTAATAAAGGGAAAGACTGAAGGCTTTTTTTTTTTTTTTTTTTAATGTAAGCTATATTTCAGGATACCCACGTAGTTGGCTGATAAAGGATAACCTCTATTACAGAAGCATTCCCACTAATAAGTGCAGAAGGAATGAGCCAGTATCACCATTCTGCCAACCCTCATGGATGAATGATCATCAGTAGCTGCTAACATCACAAAGCAGACGTTCCCACCCTGGAAGGAAGTAGCATACCACCTAAGAAGTAGTGTTGCTAGAAAAACTAAATCAAGTTAGCAAAACACAGAGTGTGAGAGAGACTACTGGAAATATAACCCAGTCTTTTTGACAAATAAATGGCAAGCCCCTCAATCCCCCTCTCTCCCCAAAGGCTGATGGGGCACTGCTCCAGGTTAAAGGCGGCTAAGAAACACATGAGGCAGTTACCGTTTATTTGACTTCTGACTAGGACAACTACACTTGAAAAAATAGGTAACACTGAGGAGGTGTAAGCACCCACTGGGAACTGGATAATATTAAAGAATTAATAGTTGTTCTGGGGTGTTAGTAATGTTAAGTTTTTTTGTTTGTTTGTTTTTTGGGGTTTTTTTAAATGAGGGTTTGTTTTTCTTTCCACAGATCAAAACATTTATAGGGGAAAACATGAGGTCTGGGCTTTGCTTCAAGTTAAGCTAGAGGAGTTGGGAGAAAATTAGGCTATACATTAAATAAGGTTTATCATGAGTTGATGATTAGAGTTACATGATAAGCACATGGGAATTAACTTTATTGTCAGGTCTGCCTTAGTATGTATTTGACATTTTCCATGTTCAAAAAGCATAAAATATTCTAGCTGTGAGAAAAAATTCCATACTCCTAAAAGATATTTTATTGTCCTTAACCTCCTTTACTTTTGACTTTTCAAACATATTCTTCTTTTTTTTTAAATATATTTTATTGATATTTTTACAGAGAGGAAGGGAGAGACATAGAGAGCTAGAAACGTCAATGAGAGAGAAACATCGACCAGCTGCCTCTTGCACACCCCCTACCGGGGATGTGCCCGCAACCAATGTACATGCCCTTGACCAGAATCGAACCTGGAACCTTTCAGTCCGCAGACTGATGCTCTACCACTGAGCCAAACCGGTTTCGGCTATATTCTTCTTTTTAAAAGAAGGATTATCTGTCTGTTCCTCATTCTCATAGTTGCACCAAAGATAGTTGTTTCTCTAAAATAACAATGAAAAATCATTTTCTTCCTTTCTTTTTACTTTTTTGAAAAACTGCATACCCCACATTGAGATTTCATTGAACGTAAAAGTGGTGTTAACATCGGTTGATTGCTTTTTCGTGTCTAACTGTGGAGTTTGTGCTTGGTTCGGTGGAATCAGCATTGCCTCTTGTTTGTTTTCCCAGGTCCTGGTCCACCTGGGCCTCCTAACGAAGGAGTCTGGGTTCAAGATTGCGGAGACAGCGTTCAGCGGCGGTCCTCTCGGTGAATTAGTGCAGTGGAGTGATTTAATTACATCGCTGTACTTACTGGGCCATGACATTAGGATTTCAGCTTCACTGGCTGAGCTCAAGGAGTAAGGAGATTACTTTTCAATTTTAAAATCAGGATACAAAAAAGAAATTGTAAACTCTTAAAGCCCTCTATTACTGTGTAATTTCTTGTGGAGGAAAATGAAAGTGATAATTCACTAAGCAGGAGATAAGAAGATTATTTTCAGGAGCTAAATACATACACTGTGAAAGCATAATATGTTTTCATTGTAGCTGCAGGCTCCAGAGGCTTCACAAATGAATGCCAGAAAATTCAAACCCGGGGCTTATTCTTTGCTATTACAGGTGCTTCCAACATCTGCAGCATAACACATTATTGGCCTGCCTAATTCCCTGTCTTTTGCTGAAATTCATACCGTTCCCTACTCAACATCCAGTTTTCAAAATCTTGAAACAGGGCAGGTTCCTGTTTATAATTTAATTTGGATAGAATGAGTTTCCTGAAAGCCTTGATCCAATCCTTTTTCAATTAGCCAACATTCAGCTCTTAGTCTGTTAACTCTACCTGGGTTTTCCGTTTCAGGGAAACTTGCTTGCAGTTCTGGCCTGCTCTTAATCTTATTTGGATGGACACAGCTGGCTAAGCAGGAATGCTTAGAGCCCCTTCACTCCTTTCAGATAACATCCAGCAGCCAAGTTATCATGATGCTATATGTCAAATGCTAGCAGAAGAAACACATTGGATAAACATTCTATGTTCAGTGAATGTATCTCATCTGTTCCTACTTTACTGTTACTGTTAGGTCCAAGATCCACACCTGACCAGTAGCATGTTGAGATGGAAGCAGTATCAGTAAGATAATATCACTGTCATTTGTTAAATGATTTCCATATTCTAAAACTGTGGGTAAGGGCTTCAATTACAATAGTTTCAACATTTATGACAACCATGATGACTATTAACAGCTCAAATTTGTTGAGCACTAAGTGTGCATCACGTACTAAGCATTTTATATGTTTTTACCAATAAGGTAAAAACATAAAATGCTTAGTATGCACAAATCTGTAAGTAGGTGCTATTGCTTTATGCATTTGAAAGATGAGGAGACAGATTCCTACTACAGATGGGTTGTTTGAGGTCCCATGGAGAATGTGTGGAAGAGCCAGGATTGGAGCCCTGTGTCTGGTCTTGGAGCCGGTACTTTCTGCGGCTGTACTGCCTTGCAGATAAACTCAAAGTCTTCTGAACTCTGACTCACCTTCTGTCCCTTCTGCATTCTGCCTTCTGGTGCCTTCCTCCTGCTTACATTAGAGCACACTGGGCACCAACCTGTGAGGTGGATGCCTTCATGCAGTTAGCACTTGTTCCTTTAGTGCCTTCTGTGGACTTGATCTTGGTAAAGGGTAGGCAGAGATGGCCATCAGGGGTTCATGGAGATGCCAATCACTTGCTAATTATAATTAATGCATTACATAATAATTACACTAATTGCAATGTGATTAGTACTAATCACATGGATACTAGAATGTAAGCACAGGAAGTAAAGAAAGTATGAATATTGTTCTTCAGCACATAGAAAAGTGTCTACCACACAGTGGGTACTCCTATTTACTGAGTGAAAGGATGACTAAGTGGGTGGGTGGTTAAGCAAATGGAACACTGTTGAAGCCCGAGGGATGGTGCCTTCCAGGGAAGTCAGGGAGGGCATATTGGGGGTCTCTCAGGTCAAGAGGAACAAAGGTCTTCAAGCACTGGTGACAGGGACAGATGTATTTTATTTAAGAAGGTAATTGTGGAAATAGCATTGAGCTGTGGTTCCCAAACATTCCTGGACATTGGAACCTTTTGGGGACCTTTTTAGACTCCTAAAGCCCAGACCATATCTCAGATTAATTAAGTCGCAACCTTTAGGGATAGGATGTAGGCATAAGTATCTCTTGACACCTTCAGGTTATTCCAATGTGCAGACAAGTTTGGGAACCACTGAATACAGGTGGATCAGGTGTCGGGAAGCAGCAGCTCAGTAGGCCCAGTCTAGTCCTGCTTGCTTTGGGTGAAGTTTCACAGGAGCTACACCTGCTGTTTCTGTAGGGTCTGATCATGTTCATCCTACAATGATACAGTGGAATGGTTATTACAGAAAAAATGTGGCCTTCAAAGATGAAAGTATTTACTAGCTGGCTCTTCACAAAAGAAATACTCGAATTCTTGAGAAGAAATTGTGCTGGGGAATTGTGCTGGAGACAGTGGCAGTTTAGAGCTAAAGGGCAGAGTCCTTTTTCGGCTCCTGTCCTTGGAAGTAGACATCCAGCCATAATTTGATGAAGGATCATTGTGGGTGTAGCAGGGATCAAAGGTTTCAATATTAACCCATTTCCAAGTGAAAGGTGACAAGCACGTTGGCTTGCCAAGTACAAGTGTGAGTTTGGGTGGATGGGTGGGTGGGCAAAGGGTAATGTAGAATTGTAAATCGTAGTGCCAGTCTAATCAGAAGGTTCATTTTCACATAAGAGAAAAAAATTGGAAGCAGTACAAGACACTATAGAAAAACGTTTTTCTCAAAAATAAGTCAGGGCTGGATTAGTAAGAAACTAACAGTCACTGAGTATGTAGCATACATTGGGCACTTTCCATTCAGTATTTCATTTAACCACCAAAAAACCTGAAAGGTCGCTATACAGTCTGGTTTTGTGGTGGTTTTGTTTGCTTGTTTGAGAATAAGGAAAGATTCTGAGGTTAAGTAACTGGTCTAAGATCTCCCTACTGCTGGTTGGGGGAGACAAACTCAGACCTGTATTTTCCTGGGCTTCAACGGTTGTGTCTGGGCACCATTTGCTTTTTACAAGAGTTGATGCCTGGGCTCCGGATGGGTCCTGGCGGTGGGCAGAATTCAGATGAGCAGTGGATGGGGAGGGGCCATGCCATTCTCCGGGTAAGGATTCTTGGATGTTCATTTGCCTATTAAAGTTAAGTATTACGCCTTGAAGTAAATTGTTTTTTCTTTTTTTCTCTCTCTGCCCTTTCTCTAGAATAATGAAGAAGGTTGTAGGAAACCGATCTGGCTGCCCCACTGTAGGAGACAGAATCGTTGAGCTCATTTATATTGATATTGTGGGACTCGCTCAATTCAAGAAAACTCTCGGACCATCCTGGGTTCATTACCAGTAAGTGCCGCACGCTGTTCTTAGGTTTGCAGAGCTTTTTTATTTATTTTTGAACAAGGGTTGAATGGTTGTAGGTAGAAAGAAACGCATTAGAGTATCTTTTGAACCTGTAGAGAATGTTTCCCATTCCTAATTGAAATTCAGATTCTCCACAGTGACTTCTTACTTTCAAGGGCTATTCATTATTTTCATTGATTTACGTTAAGAATAGAAAAAAAGTATCCAACCTCATTTTTGCCATCCCTAATACTTAGCATTCTTCTCTCAGTATGCCCACAGCAATCTTAGCTGTTTAATCACAAAGTGATTTCCATAAAATTAAGACAAGGTGTTACTTGTGTTTCTTAGGTTTAAGATAATGACTCATTCTCTCTGCTTTTCCCCAATCAGTATTCTTGTCATTCTTGGAAGAGAAAGCTGGGGAATACCTCGCCTGAATGCCAGGGTCTTTCACTTTATAAGATCCGCCTAGTGCTTGGGATGCCCCAAGTGTGTGTGTGTGCTGCTCTGTGCAGTCTTTATCATCTAGTGCAGTGATCCCCAACCTTTCGGACCTCTAGGACCACTGGCTGGGGCCACGAGTTAATATTTGAAACACTTTTTCATGATACACACCATAACCTAGATGACATTGGGTTAGACAATGAAGTTTATTAATTTTTCAGTTTTCTTTCAATCTTTCTGAAAAAGGCTTAGTTTGGTGCTACTATTTCTCCAACTACTTTTAAAAATATATATATTTGTTTTTATTGATTGTTAGTGAGGAAGGGAAAGGAAGAGGGAGAAAGAGAGAAACATCAATGAGGGAGAAACATCCATATGCTGCCTCCTGCATGTCCCCTACTGGGGATCCAGCCTGCAACCCTGGCATGTGCCCTGACCAGGAATTGAACTGGTGACCTGTTGGTGCTTAACCACTGAGCAACACTAGCAGGGCTCCAACACTACTCTTAATACTTCCATGCATTTTTAACAAAGTGTGATACCTGTGCCCTTGACAGTGTGACTCGGTTGGTTGGAGCATTGTCCTGTACACTGAAAGGTTGCAGTTTTGATTCCCATTCAGGGCACATTCCCAGGTTGTGGGTTTGATCTTTGATTGGGGTACCTGCATGCGGCCACTGATTGCTGTTTCTTTCTTGCATCAATGTTTCTCTCTTTCACTTTGAGTTTAATACTTATTAAAGAATAGTAATATGCTTTTTTGTTGTCTTCCATTTATTGCAATTGACACTGACTTTTACTTATGGTCTAAAAAAGTTTCCAATAAATTTTAAAAGGTGAATACATTAAATAAACATTATACTCATTCTATAATGTCAGTGTTGTGTCAATTTGGGTAAAAATCATGACGTTAATACAAACTTTATCAGTGACAGTAAGTATTGACTTGTTTAAACAAGCTTCCGAAGAGAACACTCTGAAAGTCTGTCCATTAGATGACTTGGAACCGCTGCCCCCACCATGTGTTCCTTGTCTGTTGATATTCGGTAAAGAGATGTTTTTCTGTGTTCTTTAAACTTAACCAATCAATCACTTCTTTAATTCAGGTTGGTTTATAGTTAATATTATTAACTTTCATCTCCAAGGTTATGTCAGACTGGAAGTCCTTTAGGATTGAAAGAAATGAAAATTTAAAATATTAAGATTCTTCTCAGGAACAGAGGGGAGGACACTGCTGCTGTGCAGTTTCCTTGCAGTAGCAATGATTTTCTCACTGGGCAGTGACATGCTTATGGGCAGAGGTGAGGGATTAATTGAGAGAGACCCTGTGCTCTCATTGCCTTTGGATGTAGACTCATAAAATAGCCAAATAAAAATTTGATTTGGGTCTGGGTAGCTCTCTATCTTTATATCAGGTTTTTCCTGGTTTGGGATTTGTCGTTTTCTTGAAATCTTCATGAATCCCAGGCTATCACATTTGTCCTCTGTTACATGAAAATAACCATCTCTTTTCTTGGTTAATGAGCCGTGTAAGTAAACACACCTTTTCTTTTTTTCTTTTTAGCTACAACATTAAAAATAAAGAAGGCAGTGCTGTTGTGCTCTGGCATTTTACAAATGGCAGGCATCTGATAAAGTGCCCCTGGAGTGGGTATTCCAGGCTTCCCTGGCCTCACATATCCTCACCATTAAGAAGGGCTGTTTGGATGGGAAAATATTCTCAGTGGTAGTATTAAGTTCAATTGAAAAAGGATGATTCCATATTAAGAAGGTTACCATTGATTGATATTTGGTACTTGTTGGATGACAAGAGGCATGGCAGGGGTTTATGGCAGAGGGTAATGTCTGTCCATTCTTTAGTAAATCACCCACGTTAGTGCAGTTGGCAGGATGTTGCTTAGTCATCAGCCCTGCTCTCTGGTGTGATGGCGCTCAGGTTTCATCAGAAGGCCAAGCAGGTCCTCTGAAGAGTTTCTCACCCATTTCTTTCCCTTTTGAAGAACAGAAATTGTCAGGGCTATCTGTATACATCTTGGTTGGTGGTAGATGATATGAATTCTATTCAGTATACAGTTATCTTCTGATTTTTCATTTAGGATTTGAGTTGTATTCATCTTGGGAAATATTGATCTTTGAAAATTCTGTTAAATTCATGTAAGAACCCAGGAAACTCAGTTAAATATTTTCTATATGCAACTACACTGCTGGGTACTGCAAAACTCATACAGATCAAATCTAAAACAGTCTTCCTTCACAGCCCTGAGAACACACCAGACAGCGAGATTCAAATAGTCTAATTTATATCACATTTTTCATCGAGCTCCACATTAGAAAGTAGGTCCTGGCAAGAAGGTTATGAGCATCCATCCCATAATAGCGTGGCTTAGAGCAGAGAGAGTATTCCAAGAGCATTTGGCATGGCTGCAGGGATCCCTGCTCCAGGAGGCCAGCTGCTCGGCAGCGAGGCTGATATCTTTTGAAGCCATTAGCCTGTTTCTGATGCTACAAACACACAGAAGGCATTAGAGGAAGGGTGTCAGTATTAAATCAAACAGAACCTCTGTCACAGAGGTAAGTCTCCTGCCTCTGGTTATAAAACAAATGCAAATAAGTTAAAACAATAGACATTTCCTAAATCAAAGCTTCAAGTATGAGGATGTAGAATTACAAGTACCCAAGTCATGGGATCATCCATTCTATAGCCTTCCATGGGGAAGAAGCCAGTTTCAGAAGTGAACATCTAGGCACTTTCTTTTTTTTTTAATGTGGAACGCTTCATGAATTTGTGTGTCATCCTTGCGCAGGGCTATGCTAATCTTCTCCATATTGCTCCAATTTCTGTATATGTGCTGCCAAAGTGAGCACGAGGCACTTTCTGACATCCAGGCTTCCAGGAGTCAGGACTGCTAGCTATCTTTACTCATTAGAGTTTATTTTAATTATCCAAATGGAAAATAACACCAGTAAAACTCCAAGTTAAAAATAAAATGACAAGCCAAAGCCAGAGAGGAATATAGACTGTTTGAGTCAATTGCAAATAAGCGGAAGCAGCCAAAGCTTCAAAGCATAGGATCCTTAGGACCGAGTGTCTGTTTGTCCCTGGGCTGCAGGCACAGAGTGCTGTGGTCCTTGCATCCTAACTCTGTGCCTGGGCAGTGGACCTTCTAACTGCCCCATCGCGCCCAGAGGTGTGTGTCCCTCCCTCTCTCGCAGTGACCTCCCCAGAGCTGCCACACCATCCCTCTGTTCCAACACTGCCCTCTTCCTCAGAAGAAAACATACTGGCTCCAATAAGTGCCTTTTGCATTTTTATTTTAAAAGGAAGAGTGTAAGTTAAGACTTGGGAATGTTTTATCAAGAAGAGAGCTGTTCAGAGAGCAAGAAAAACAGGCATGGATCAGTTCCTTGCATCCACACCTTTTTCCTGGAGTGTGGACATCCATTTCTGTCTGCCTCTTGGCTGCCAAGCTAATAACACCTTCTTGTTCCTATTGTGGCAGTGGTCACTGTGATGATGGCCTGTTCCTTGAGTCACAGAAAATCCAGGCAAGGAGGTGCTTTCTGTGGTCAGCCTGTATTTTCCACCTGGTCACAGCCGCCCTCTTCCACCTGCCTTTTCTTTTCCTCCTTGTCTAGACTGGTGATGCTGATCTCTGACGAGAACATCATCTCACCAAAATGGCAATTTACTGTTGCTCTTCCTGGAACAACCAATCTGATATTTGCACTTTCTTTTTCTTTTCTGAATCATACATTGATGTAAAAATGAAAAGTTGGGCCTTGGCTTGGTGGCTGTTTGTTGAAGTGTCATCCCATGCACCAAAAGGTCATGGGTTCAATTCCTGGTCAGGGTATATAACTAGTTGCAGGTTGGATCCTTGGTTGGGGCACATATAGGAGGCAACCAATCAATATTTCTCTCACACATGGATCTCTCTCTCTCTCTCTCTCTCTCTCTCTCTCTCTCTCTCTCTCTCTCTTCTCCCCCCTTTAATCCTTCCCTCCCTTCCTCTCTCTAAAATCAATAAACATATCCTTAGGTGAGGATTTAAAAAAAAAAAAAAAAAAAAAAAAAAAAAAAAAAAAAAAAAAAAAAACTTGGAAGAATGAGCTTCCTGAAAGTGGAAAAGAGAAGAAACTGAATCAAATACTTAAAAATCACATTGCCATCCTCTAATTTTAAAATACGGGGTTTAATCTTTATTTACTTTCATGATTGTTGATCCAATAAGAGCTGTTTAGAAGCAGTATTGATACATAACAACAGAAAATATTATTTTTATTGGCCATTTATGAGCTAAATTTACATCAATGTTTTGAGAATTAGTAATGAAGGAAATGTAACCAAAATCAATACATTCTGTTTCAGTATTGATTCCTTTCACTGATGGGTCATTCTGTGTACACCCTATAGCAGGAGTCAGGAGGCTTTTCTTGTAAGGAGCCTGCTAGTAAATATTTTAGGCTTTTCTGGATGTACGGTTTCTATCCCCCCTCACTACACTATTATTGTGCAAAAGCAGCCACAAATAATAAACAACTGGGTGTAGCTATATTAAAAAACTATTTTTGAATGCTAAAAATTGAATTTCATACCATTTTCACATCACAAAATATTCTTTTTATTGTTTAACTAAAGATGTAAAGATCATTCATAGCTTGAAGGCTATGCTGAAACAGGCTGTAGATGGGATTTGGCCAATCCTGTTGTAAGGCTTTGGTGGAACAGTCAAATGAAACATCTTCAGTTTCACTTCTTCAGGCTCTGAGTGGGAGCAATCGTATTCTCTTACTATCAGAAACATGAAAATCACCATTGCCTTTTGAGCAAAATTTTAAGCTTTACCTAAAATCACATACTCTAATTAATTGGTGAAAATGTTGAAAGAGATAAGGCATGCCATGTGCTTTGAGCAGAATAAGACCTTCATCTTCATCTGTTCCAGCTGCTATAAGATAATACCACAGGCTGAGGGCTCGTACACAGCAAGCATCCTTCATTGCTCACATTCTGGAAACTGGTAGTCCAAGACAAGGGTTTGAGCATGGCCAAGTGAGGACTGTCTTCCAGGTCTCAGACTTCTTGAATTCTCACAGAATGAAGGGGGCTAGGGAGCTAGCAATATAGGGTTTCTTTTATAAGGCCACTAATCCTACTCATGAGGGCTCCACCCTCATGACCTAACCATCTCCCAACATCCCCATCTACTAATATCATCACCTTTGGATGTTAGGATTTCAACACATAAATTTTGGGGGACACAAACTATACATAGTGATCTCTAAAAATGGCAGTTCTTTATTTCTTCAACAAGTGTCTTTAGGCACCACTGTGAGCATGCACTCTGCAGTTCAGCTTTAAAGAACGTTTACTTCTCTCTCTCTTTTTTTATCCTTACCTAAGGAGGATATGTGTATTGATTTGAGAGAGAGAAATAAAAACACTAATGTGAGAGAAAAACATGAAATCAGTTGCTTCCTGTATGAACCTCAACCAGGGATGGAGCCCACACTGTTTTTGATGAATGGGATGATGGTACCACAACTGAGCTGCCAGCCAGGGGGCTTTGGAGAACTTTATTTCATTGGTATTTGAGTTGTGCTCTGAAGCACATTGTGTCTGCTGCATAATGGTTCGAGTCACATATGAAGATGCTTGGTTACACAGCTATTCTAAAACCTCTCAGTGCCTGTCCAGTGGCATTAAAGTATCTGCCCTGGTTGGTTTGGCTCAGTGAATAGAGCGTCAGGCTGTGGACTGAAGGGTCCCAGGTTCTATTCCGGTCAAGGGCACATGCCCGGGTTGCATGCAGGCTTGATCCCCAATGGGAGGCGTGCAGGAGGCAACTGATCTATGATTCTCTCTCATCATTGATATTTCTCTCTCTCTCTCTCTCTCTCTCTCTCTCTCTCTCTCTCTCTCTCTCTCTCTCTCTCTCTCTCTCTCTTTCTTCTTCTTCTTCTCCTCCTCCTCCTCCTCCTCCTCCTCCTCCTCCTCCTCCTCCTCCTTTTTCCTCGCTCCTTCCCTCCCTCTCTCCCTCCTCCCTCCCCGCTTCCTCTCTGAAACCAATAAATTTTTTTTTTTAAGTGTCTGTCCCTTTTTTGGCAGTGCCTGAAAGAGGGGTTAGAGCTTTTATTTCCAGAACTTTGGGTCAAGGTTGCAGTTTTACCCACAGCACTTTTTCTTGCAGGTGCATGCTGCGTGTCTTGGACTCTTTCGGCACCGAGCCGGAGTTTAACCATGCCAGCTATGCCCAGTCCAAAGGCCATAAGACCCCCTGGGGAAAGTGGAATCTGAACCCGCAGCAGTTTTACACCATGTTCCGTAAGTATTCCTATCTCGCATCTGCTTTTTAGAATGCTGCCACAGACTAAGGGGAAAGAAAGTCCATGGCATGTATTAGAGTGCCCTGTGCTGTGTAAATATGTGCCTTGGGAATAATGGAATTTTTCTCAATTACTACCAAAAGGCCATGATAAGAGCATTTAGAAGTGTTCGGGGAAAAATGTTTCCACAGGACGGATCACGAGAAACTGGAGGGAAAGGGCTTTGGGTCCACTTCGGGTTGGCAGACACTATACCTGTTCCCTGCCCCACAGGTGCTGTGTAGGATCCACTTAGTTAGAGACAAGGAATGGGGTCTTCTGTATCTATACATTTTCCAAATCAGTAAACCATAATTACTTAAGCATCAAATTTTGCAAAGAAATCTGTTAGCCTTTTTTAAATGGAACTTTTATATTATTTTTATTCTTTAGAGACAGAGAGAGGAAGGGAGAGAGAGAAACATTGATTGTTGTTCATTTATTGATGTATTCAATGGTTGATTCTTGTCTGTGCTCCTACCAGGGATCATACTTGAAACCTTGGTGTATTGGTATCACCCTCTAACCAACTAAGCCACCCAGTCATGGCCTAAATGGAATTTTTAAAAACTGCTTCATACTTTACCGACTTCTTAAACACGGACCCAGAAGGAAATCTCACTTCTTTTGTTCAGGTGGTGTTATTGTCGCCAAGAGCAATGGTTGTTTTAGAAGGAGATGTACTGGACACACTGAGAGATGATGTACTAACTGGCCCTCGTTGTGGGCCAGTTTCTGTATTGTTTTTCCTCCCACTTCCTTACTACTACAATCAGTTTACCTCATTTCACTTAAAATTAACTGAATACCGTGAAGCCAGATTTGATAGTGTTTATGTAAAGAGCAGGTTTATTTTCTGAGTCAGTAGATTGTGGTGATGAGATTCAGTTCCATAAACAAAAGGTCACGTGAGTGATCAGTTCATGGTACAAAGCACGTGTAACTTTGAGGAGCTGGGATGAGGTCATACAAAATAACCTAAGAAGTAACCTGTATGTTATGCAAAATGGGAAAATGTTAGCTGTGTCTAAAGTAGCCAGAATTGATATGTATGCCCTCCACCAGAAGGACTTTTTCTAATCCCAGGAAATAAGTTTTTTCAGAAAGTATTATAAAGTTCTTTTATAGAATCTTGGAATTCAGAGTCCTGAAAATCACATTTTATTATACATAAGTGGAGGATTTCCACAGTGTTGGTTGAATTGAAAGAAATTCACTGCTTACAGTGTAACTAGAGATGAAGACAAATTAATTCTTTTCCTGGGAAGTATGTGTATCCTAATTGACTCTCATTCAGCAAGAATCAAGGGGAAAACTAGTCCATTAGACAGCCCTTCAAAAAAAAAAGAATGTTTATGTCAAAAGCAATAATACCATAAGCAAATTTAGCAGAGAGTTAGTATCCCTAATATATAAAGAATTTCTAAAAATAATGAGTAAAAAATTCTACAATCCAGTATAAAAAATGTGCAAAAAGCTGTTACTGTTTCAGAGGAAAATGAGATTACCTTAAATATATGAAAACATGTTAACTCAATTCACAAGAGAACAATGTGTTTTCACACTGCACTAAGACACCATGTCCCACATATCAGATTGGCTAATGTTCAAAAGTTTGCTAGCCCAGCCATTCTATTGGTGAGGCCCAGGGACAGCAGCCTGCTCCCACACTCATGCTGGGGGGTAGGTGTCACCACCTCACAGAACTGCCAGTCCATCTTTCCTTACGGGGGAATGCAGAAGGACCAGGCTGGTTGTTAGGCCATTGAGATCACCAGCTCATCCCTGGCTGCTCAGGGGCTCAGGCCTGCAGGAAAGCGGGCACCAGCAATTCACCTCTGTGTGTGTGTATGTGTGTGTGTGTTTGTGTGTGTTTCTGCTTTCCCGCAGACCTGAGCCTGGAGCAGCTGGGGATGAACTAGTGATTACAATAGCCTGATAGCCCGGCAGTGGAGGCAGTGTTCAGCCTGGGGACTGGCAAACGGGCAGAAGATGGCCCTGATCGCAGGAGGCTAGGCCTAGGGATCCTATCTGCATGATATAATCATGTGCTGGGTCTCTAGTAAAAGCATAATATGCTAATTAGGCCAGACATCATTCCGGATGTTCTGCCTTCCAGAGAAAGCTGTGGTGAGGCAGGGGCCATGGCAGAGGTGACAGAGGCCCCTGGCCATGGTAGCAGCAGTGGCGGGCGGGGGCCGCCACAGCAGAGCTCCTGGTCGCAGCTGCTGCATCGGGCGGGGGCCAGGGCCAAGGGCCTCTAGTTAAGTGATAAAAACCAAAGTGCAGGGCTGTATGTAGAGCTACTCCCTTGTATATAAGAAGGGTATAGAGGAAAGATATGTAAATACATTAGTGTATATAAATTTGCTTATATTTTCAAAAGAAATAAAGGAAGAATAAATAAGCTAATACAAATGACTATCACAGGAGAGGGGTGTGTAGGGTCAGGGGTGGAAAGTAGATGTTTTTTAATGTACATTATTTACACTTTAGAACCATTACTGTTTTTGTATAACCTAAGAAGAAAAATCAAAGAGGAAAGTATTCACTAATAACTGAAACAGGTTGAAAAGATAAATAAATAAACCTAGTGATATATCAGGTGCTGTCAATCTCTCACGCAGAGAAAATACTCATGTCAAGTGACTTCAAAACCATCTTTGGACTGCACATTTATAATGGGAAACTTATATTGTTATTTGAAAATAATCTGGGTATACTGTAGGAGGCAACATTTTCAGAATATAAGGGGACGTATTTAAAGAATTTAAAGAGTGTATAATATTCAACTTGAATAAGAAATATAAATGTGAACTTTTTCTCTTTTAAAAGGCCATATTTCCCAGCTCTGTTTTTTGAAAGACTCAAAAGTAAAGATGACTCACTAACACTCAGACTGGGATTCCCTAAACACTTTCCAACTAAAAGGAACCCCTGCTTAGATAAGTAGTTGGTTCCCGCAGTAGGGCAGGTAAAGTGCAGGATGGGACATCCTGGGAGCTGAGGCCAAGCAGGGGTAGGGTTAGAGGACACAGGAGCCGGTGATAAGGTATCAGAGCATCAAAATGAATAATCACTGCAATGTATTGAAATCAGAACAATGACAAATAATCCAGGAGTCCCATGATACTTCAAATGAGAAAAACCCTCAAAATCAATCGTCACCTTTGCAAGTTGCTAGGATACATCTTCATCACCCTGAACAATACAGGGAAGAATTCCTCTTTGATCCTGATTTTCTAAGACAAACTGTATTTAAAGACAATCAGATAGTTGATGAGAGAACGTTGTTAATCATGGAGAAATCTCAGTAATAAATGCAAAAGTACTAGCCAGGAATTGGAAACTCAGCACTGTGTAGCTGCTAATGAGATAATGGAGCCAGGCAGGATCCTCACTGGCTGCTAAATCCCTCAAATAGCAGTTGGTGGGGAAATTCCCCACGGATGAGATTGTCTTCAATGGAGGAACTAGGGAAATGAAGCAGCTTGAGATGTTTTATCATGTTTTGATGTGTCAGTTGAAGAATTTGCAGCGGCACACAGTGAGCCTGCACCCTGCTTCCCAGAACTGCCCTCAGAGAACTTGGGTGCATTTTGGGGAGAGGGGCCCTTCTCTTACCCATGACAAAGGGGTTGGGTCCAGTCCAGTCTAGCCCTGTCATTCCCACAAAATCTGTGATTACCTTACCCTTTGGAGAAAATGTGGCTGTGCTAGTGGTCTGAAGTGCAGCTTTACTGATGCTTAACATATGGGCATAGATATTATCCTATCTAATAATCCTATCTAACAAAAGGGTAATATGCAAATTAACTGTCACTCCATCACAAAGATGGTGGCACCCAGTCCTCTTAGCCCCACCAGAGTCCCCCAGTCCCAGGGGGCTGGGAGGGCAGCCACTGAGAGTGGGCAGCGTGAGCAGCCTGGTGAAATGCTTGCTTCATAGTGGTCTGGCAGAATGCTTGCTTAGTCACCTCTGGCCAGGCTGGGACACAGAATGCTTGCATCATCGCTCCAGCGACGAGGCAGGTGTTCTGCACCCGGCTGCAGATGGGCCTCCGGGCAGTGGAGAGCCTCTGGGCAGAGCCAGGCCCCACAGAGAGCTACTGGCACACAGATTTGTGTGCAGGGCTACTAGTCTTATATAATAAAGGGGTGATATGCAAATTGACCCTCACATTGTAACACTGCCACAAGATGGCAGGACACACAGTGGGGGCAGGGCAGTGGGGATAGGACCAGCGGCAGGGCAGCAGGGATGGGGCCAGCAGCTGCTTCCACCAGGGTTCCTGTGACCCCTCGGGGGCACAGTGGGTCCAGGCATCCACTTCATGTGGTTTCTGCCAGGGTTTCCGCATCCCCATGCCGTGGAGGCAGGGCCCACGTGGCCTGGTGGCGGAGCATTGAGGCAGTACCATGCGGAGTGTGGCAAGGGGGGGCAGTTTGCGGGAGGGGTTGTTCTGGGTCTCGCATGATTTTGCACGACTGGTCACTAATCAATGTACAAATATGCTTGTGCATTGCGGGTATACTTACTGTTTTCCATTGTAAAGAGTTAAAAGACATAGAAATAGAGTGTTGTGCTTATAGGAACAAGTGTTGAGGTGCAGCTGTCTGTGAGATAGTATAATATGTTCTGGCACAGGTGGTGTGCAGAGAGGGAATGAGGAGGCCTGGTCAGAGGCCAGCAGGAGGGTGGAGAGGAAATCGCACAGAGGTGAAGCATTTGCAGGAGCAGTGAAATGACCCGGCTGCATTTACTCTCAAATATTCAGAGCTGTTTCTAATTCTACTCTAACTCATTTCCTCACTAAGTTGGTGGAGTTTCTACAGGTTGAAAGCCCAGTTTTTCTTTACTGTTTTGTCCTAAACCTCAGACCTTCCCTGGTACCGTCCTCTCCGTGTATCCTGTTGGAGGTGGGCCAGCACAGACTGTTTCTGATCTCTCCCCAGGCA